CTTTTGACTTCATGATCAAATAATGCTTTCTTTGTATACTTATGGTTCAATGCATTGGACTAGTTTTGAGTTTCGGGGCTTATTCCATGCATCGGGTGCCATATTTCCATGTTCGAGACATTTAGCATCATGTTTTAGTGCTGGAAATTACATATTCATAGGCCATCTTTCATCCCTTGCCATGCTTTGGTAGAGTGGCATTTGATGCCTTAGGTTCGGTCCTCGGTATGCGTGCATGTGTGCCGCATTTCGGTCGTCTCATTTTCATCTAATGGCTACTGATGTGAGTGTGGCTGAGGTCCACTCATGTTGGTGTAAGTCCATTATGCATTGTGTATGCCTTTTCAATTTATAGCATTGCGTATGCTAGGTTGCGTGTTAGAGCATTGTGTATACCATGTTACATTGAGCATTGTGTATGCCATTTCATAGCATTGCGTATGCTAGATTGTATGTTAGTCGCATTGTGTATGCCATCTCATTTGCATTGTGTTTAGGATAGGAGTTAGCCCAAGCACGGGAAACGAGGGACGTTTCGTACTCTGAGTGACGGAACGTATCTCAATTCCCGGTCGCCGACACTCTGGATTACCCATGATGGAGTTTAGGTCTTGTTGTGTTTTCATGTGCATTCATTTCACATTGAGTCGTACAATTCGACTCCTCGGCCATCATGCATCGAGATGGTGATTGGTGGCACGAGGATCGAAGACTACACTCCTTGAAGAGTAGTCATGCATACATATGTGAAAATACTTTGCCATGCCTCTTTGTTGCTCTTTGTTGCAGCAAATCAGAAATCAGTAGCCTTCTGGAGCTTTGCACAATATTCGAAAACAATTGCAAACAGAGGCAAATCGGGGCATCGTAAAGAATTTCCCGACGAAGGCAACCCGAGCATGCATCATTCATCATTCGGAACAGAGCCGAGGCGGTCAATAGCTTGCATGCTAATTTATTCACTTTCCTAGTTAATTTGTTAATTAATTAGGATTTTGTACTTATTCGGACTGTATTATTTATTCGGACCCTCGAGCGAGGGCAATGCTGTAATAAGTGTGCGTGTGTGTGATGTATGTCTTCCAACCCCACGTCAACCCGAGCATGCATCATTCATCATTCGGACAGAGCCGAGGCGGTCAATAGCTTGCATGCTAATTTATTCACTTTCCTAGTTAATTTGTTAATTAATTAGGATTTTGTACTTATTCGGACTGTATTATTTATTCGGACCCTCCGAGCGAGGGCATGCTGTAATAGTGTGCGTGTGTGTGATGTATGTCTTCCAACCCCACGTCTTTCTCCCTTTTATTTACTAGCTTATGATGGTTAGATTAGGGCATGTTTCAATTAGCATACTTATGCTCGCATGTTTGCATTCATTCATCTGTCTTGCATGCACCGGGCTCGACACACCATACTAACTGCATTTGTATTTCAATTCCAAATTGAATACGTGTTAGCTGTAGCATCATCATATGCCATGTTTAGAATAGCCGAGCCTATTATAGTTTCATTTTCGCATGTGTTGCATTAGGCATTTCTGTATAGTTAGGATCATGCATGGATTTCTAACATAACTTCTATTTTGGCTTGGAGTACTCGGTAAGTTTTATGCTTTAGCATCCTTGCATGCGTGTGAGTGACTGCCATGACAGCATGCTTACCATGAGGCTATGTGCTTATGTGATATAATTGCTTGAATGCCTGTGGGTGAAGGTTGGGTTATTTGAACTAGAGATAATTCATTAATTGTGAGTTTAAGCCCACTAGATAGTGGCAAAATCATGTTTTCTAAGCCACTCGAGGGTGGCAAATCCACGTCTTAGCTACTTGGCGGGTAGCACCATCAAACCATTTTCAAATAAATAAACATGAAATGTTTTGTTCCAATTCAGGCGACCCAGTCTATACTTGTATGTTGTGCGCATCACATAGTAAATCTAGGCTAATAACCGGAATAAGAATGCATAATGTTTTCAAAACTAGATATCATGGTTAGTAGAGGCCGATCTTTGATCGGGCGAGCGGGGGTGCTCACGAAGTGACCTTCCCCAATCGTACCCAAGTTCCCGAGTCGAGGCAACTTTGGTGATGACGGACACATGGCCTTAGGCAACGAGTCAGGGTTTTCTAAATTTTCCCAAAATAAAATATTTAGGTGGCGACTCTGTATCTGGCAAAGCAGTCCATGCTTGGTACTTCTTTCAAAAAATCTATTTTCAAAAACGATTTGTCGGATTTGGACTCTTTGATGATTTCATCGGTATTGCATTGCACTTTGCGAGATTAGATACAGGACCGTGACACAAGTCGAGTCTGAACTGTAGTGAGGCCCCGAGGGCGCGTCTACAGGTGCGTAACTATTGGTGGGGTTAGTGGGAGAACAAGCGAAAAATTCATTGGAAAAATTGGAGAGCTCTGTGTGAACCAAAATGGTTGAGTGGGATGGGGTTTCGGGGTGTGAAGGCCTTTAACAAAGCTTTGTTGGCCAAACAAGGGTGGAGGTTGATTTCGTCGCTCGATTCTTTGTTGGCCAGAATTTGAAGGCAAAGTATTATCCTCATGCAAGTTTTCTTCAAGCTGGTGCTGGGTCGAATCCATCATTTACATGGCGGAGTATTTTTAATGCAATGCTGCTTTTGGAAGCTGGGTTAAGGTGGCGAGTGGGGGATGGGCGTTTGATACAGATATGGGGCAAAAAATGGGTACCGCGGCCTGACTCTTTTCATGTTTGTTCGTCATCAACAACACATTTAGAGGCTGCATTTGTCAGTGATCTTATCGATTTGGAAAGGCACTGCTGGGACGTCACTATATTGCATGAGAATTTTTTGGAGATGGATGTGGATACAATCCAGCAAATCCCTCTTAGCTGTCACGGCATACCAGACATGTTAATTTGGTACTATATGAGAAGTGGGTTGTTTTCGGTTCGCTCGACTTATCATTTGCAATTGAATCTTAGCTTGCAGGAGGTGCGCGGGTCTGGGTCAGACGTGCAACACGTTACCTAGTTTTGGAAGAGAGTATGGAGCCTCCGCATTCCTAATAAGATTAAGGCTTTTGCGTGGAAATGTAGTGCTAATATTCTGCTGGTTAAATCAGTTCTTCGGAATCAACATTTATTGATGGAGGATACGTGTGCTTGTTATGGGGTTGAGGCAGAAACGTTAATGCACTGTTTTTGGGGTTGTTTGAGGGCGAGGGAGGTATATCAACAAAGCCCGATACCGTTTGTGCTTGACCAAGGTGCTGGTGGTGACTTTATGAGCTGGGCATATGGCATTGGGCGTAGGTTTGATAAAGCTACACCGGGTTTGTTTTTCGCTGTTTGTTGGGGTTTCTGGTCATCTTGGAATCAAGCTTTATTCAATAATGTCATTCACTCAGCTATTGCAACCATTCAATAGTGCGTGATTTGGTGCGAGATTTCGGCAGGGCACAATCCGCATTGTGTGGGGTTTCAGTGGATCATGGAAATGAGAAGTGGAAACCACCGGATGGGGCGATCCTTAAAGTGAACTTCGACGGGCTATGTTCACGAGGCAGAAGGCATGTGGTGTGGGGGTCATGATTCGTGATCATAATAGAATGCTGATAGCAGCTTTATCGGAGCAAATTCCGACATGGATGGAGGTAGATTGTATTGAAGCTATTGTGGCTGTCAAGGCACTGGATTTCGCAGCTGAACTGGGGTTAACAAACATTCAATTGGAAGGTGATTCTCTTACTGTGGTGAAGGAAATACGAGAGGATGGACATCTTAGTGCTTCGTTTGGTCATTTTTTACAATGTGCCATCTATCGTAGCAGGCAATTTTCGAGTTTCTGTGTTTTGCACATGCGGCGGAGTGGCAACATTATGGCTCATCATTTGGCACAAATGGCCAAGAAAGTTCCAGACAAGTGAGTTTGGATGGCTGAGGTCCCTGATCATTTAGTGCATGTTTTGTTGAGTGAAGTTCCCATTTTGTAAGGGGTCTAACCCTCCAGCTTCTGAAAAAAAAAAAACAAAGATGGTTGATGATGCAGGAGAGACAATGATGAATTCTTATTGAAAGGAACTTCGATCCCAATCAGCAGCTAGGAAATTTAGCCCCAAAGGCAACTTCGAACTCCAGCATCATCATGTTTTTTGGATCTTGAAACCAAACACTTTAGGAACATAACTAACATTACTTGTTGGCATGTCAACACTGTATTGTAATACTTTCAAATAATGTCTTTAGATATTTTAATTCTTATCTTTTATATTAATACCTTAATATATATATATATATATATATATTGTTCCTTTATATATTAGTTTTTTCCTAATCAAGCAGAAGTTACAATGGAAAAAATAACCCCACAAAATATATCTAGTAAGTGTTTGAAAATAAAGAGCCGAACAATTACTGGATATAACACAAACAAAAATTGGATGCCACAACAATGCAGTAAATCAAATAAGTAATAAAATAAATTATTTCCTTCCAAATAACTTAAAGAAACACTATCACTCAAGTACTATGACGAAAAAAGGCCAATCAATGAAGTTGAAACTAACATTAACTGAACATGGACAAACTTCTCAATCAATGTCAATGGTCTCAAATGTTTCTTTTGTAGCAACATTTTCATTCACGATTTCCTTGAAATGAGTAATTCGTTTATCATATGGAGTCTCCCATCCCACAACACTACTGTAGCAATACCTTCGCCAATTACTCGCTATTGGAGGAATAGGGTGGTCCCATTCACACAACAACAAAAAAACAAAGTTATACATTATTGTTGGTCAAAAACAACATAGGAATTGAATTATGGGTATACCTCAACAAAGTGGTTTCTGTTCATGAAACCAATGGATATCTCTCTGCGATCAAGTGGTGGCAATGGGTATGATCTTCGTGGTAGAAATGAAAGGCACTGTTACATTGAGAAATGGTAAAGGACAATATTATAGGATGATGCAATTAGATGCCCCATATCTGGCATTGTCATCCAATATTCTGTTCATGCTGGTTTTGCATCAAAGTATGTCAAACTATAGGCAAGCTCTTCAATCCTTTTAAACGATTCGTAAAGCTTTGTATATAAATCATTGTAAGTGTGTAACTCCTGTAACAAGTCATGTCTTACTTCAACCCAATGATCTTCACCACGACCAATCAAACCAGCAATCGATCTAAATCCACAATGTCCATCAGGACTTACATCCTTCACATGCTTAATGTATGGCCTTATACACTGTGGGAATGCATCAATGTATGAAAAATATTGTACTTGTCTTGTTTGGTACACCTACAGAAAAATGTCATTAATTACATTTGACCAAGTAAATAATATTGAACTTAGATTGTATTACAATACCACAAATTCATATACCTTTTCTTTGGTAGCTCATTTTTTTTCTTCATTGACAGATTCTTGTGTACTTTTCTGTGAATGTAATTGTGTGAAGGCACTACCATGTCTAGATTCAGCCAATTCAAAAGCACATGGGTTACATCTAGTGGATGCATTAATCTTCCGATGATCACGAGATCTTGGATTGGGCTTTAACTTTGGTTTAGTGAGAAATGTGCTATCCGGACTCACAATCTCTCTCAATTTCTTCAATATCTCAAGTCTTGCACTAGTTTCACTAGAAAAAAAAACTTCTTAAAATACAAGTTAACTCCAATTTATCTTTGTTAGGTAATTTGACAACATCAAGTGTCCTCTAATGTGCATGTACTATCTCAAGTGGAATAGGAAGTAATTGTCTGATGTAATAAGCAATCTCATGTGCATAAGGCAAACTATGGGTACGTCGAATGACACAACCACATGCTGAAGAATCAATTCCAATGGATTCTGCTCACTCTGTCTATGCTAATATGTGTTCCAAAGCACATATAGATACATTACCCCGAAACTAGACAAATTCACAAGGAGTAAAATTATATTGGACAACTGTCATACTCTTATGGAATGAAGCCTTGATGGTAGTATGTTGCAACTCAAGCAAATTATGTATCTTACTCCAACAAGTTTCAAAACTCCCTTGATTGGATTCAAGTTGTTTCTTCAGTGATAAATGTGCACTCTCAGCCCTAATCAAATAACAGTTTTAAAAATCATCAAGTTCATATACAAATAAATACAAATTGAATTTATGTAATTGCTAAATTATTTACCTATTCATTGTAGCATTCCCATAGTGTATGCATGAATTTGTCCATGATGCAGCAAATTTCTCCTTGTATTGCTTCTCCCATGTGTTTGGTTCAAATTTCTCCTTGTATTGTTTCAATCATCAAGTGCCTTTGGATATGCACTAAACTCTTTGTGCAGTGTGCTAAGGTGTTCATGGTGTTCATCTTCAGACAAAAAGAAGATTAACAAATTCCATGAAGAGTTAAACTTTTCCCACGTGTCTTTACTCTCAAACATTTTCTTGCACTTAGCAAACACATTCTTATTTATATGACATCGACACAACAAGTGTTTGGAACTAGGAAATACCACATCAATGGCATTCATCAATGCAAGCTCTCTATCTGTGACAATAACTTCAGGAAAAATATTCTCATCCATGAGACCACGTAATATATTCAAAGCCCATACATAGTTATCGGTACGCTCGAACTGTAAATATGTTGAAGCTGTTAAAATGTCATATCTGTGGAAGTCACACCTACAATCTCAAGCAAGGGACGACCATTGATCTTATACGTACAGTCCATAATCAAGACACGTGGAAACGCATGAAACAAATCCAAACTGAATGGATGAGCCCAAAGGAGGTCAATGACAACCATGGTATTCTGTTCACATCTATGCCATTCAATGTATTTATGTTCTGCTAACTTCCCCAACAGTTGTTTCATCTGTGATCTTCCGACCTTCTTTTTCACTTTAAATCTATGACACACATTATAAATTGTCTTCATTATCGTTACATTCAACGAATTCCTCTGTTTCAATGTAACTAAAATATCTTTTGGTCTCACCATACTCTTAGACATATTCACCAGTAGTGTACAACCGAACAAATTGAATTTGTTTGGACTTTCAAAACCGAACAATAATGACCAAAAATAAGTTGAATATTCACTTTTATGTAAAAAAAAATTGATAAAATGAAACCAAATATTAAAATAATAAATTACAAACTAATATATAAATTTGAATGCAACGAAAACTGATAGATAAACTTAATCTCAATGGAATTGCGAGAAAATAGATGTACATATTTTTTTTAACCTCAACCATTGAAATCCAAAAGGTTGGCAGAGTCAAAAGTAATAAATAATAAATGTATCTAATATGGTAGGCCAAAAGTTCCATTTAGTGGGGTTCATTCAATAAATTATCATCAAAATTACTATGTCAAAATTTTAATTACGTACGAACTTATCGAATTCAACTTTCATACGATAATTAAACACAAGAATGCTTGTAGAAAAACAAAAACCAAACTTATAAGCACATAACCATCATGTACTAACAAGAAAGAGTAATTTTGAAATAATGTACTATTTAAATGACAATTTTATAATAATTCCAATAATATGTTATTTTGTTAATCTAACTACTGAGCCCTTTAATTTTTGTCAAAAAACGATATAGAAAATAATTGATGGTGTAGTACAAAAATTGTGAAACCTTTTTATGTTTTCCAGTAACCTCACAGTTGTAATCACAATTGTCAATTCATAAAATATCTTAATCTGTTAATCTTTGGGTTGAACAATATTGCAAAGCTTTGGTGAATAGAAACATGGCCACAAAATAAAATAATTAAGGAATACACAAGAAGAAAATAAATGAAACAATAAAAGTTTTTTTTTTTCCCAGAACAAACATAAAGTTCAACAAAAAGAAAGAGTAAAAGGACAGAAAAAAATAATTTTTTATTAAAAGGTGGCACAGGATATCGTTCCTTTGTGTGTGTGTGAAGGATACTAACATGGTCATTGAGTTCAAAGATTATCTCAAAGAATTTTTTATTAAAAGCTGTAATGTTATTTATATGATTGTGAAAATTGAAAGATTTAACATTGTAATGGGACATGTGAAAAAATACAGAAATTAATAATTATATTTTGATTTTTATATGAATATTTACCTCATCTCTGATGGGTTGCTTCAAAAAATTATCTTGATTATCACTTTCATTCATTGTTTGATTGTTCAAACTTTCTTTCAGGGTTTAGGGTTTCAAAATAATAAAAAAAACAATGATATTAATGATAATGGTGAGTTTTGATAGGGTGGATTGGAGTTTTGGAGTGAGAAAGAAGAAGAAGAAGAAGAAGGAGAAGAAGAAAAAGACAAAATAACTTTGATCTCTTAGGGAAGAAGATGCAGAGATTTGAATAGGAATAATGGATTAGGGTGTACCATGAGAAAAAAAAAATTATTTTAGGACTTAATGTGTTGTCCTTATTAGTAAATTCACATTAGGATATAATAGGAATTAAAATTTATAAATTCAAATTGGGCATACTGAGATATTTTTTGAGTTCAAATAGAATGCCCCGCTAATTTGGCAGGCCTTGATTTTCAAAAAATAATAGTCACCAATACAATTGGACTAAGTTACCCAGTCCAGTTGACTGTTGACCGATTTGAATCCATTACCAAAATTCCTTATTGATATGCTAGAAAATAGAAATTGAAGTCCTTGAAGTCCTAATTTCTTGGTAAATTACAAAATTCTTATTAGGACAAGCCAAGCCTATTGGTTGAGTATTATAGAATTTAAGTTAGTTAAACTAGTTATTGAAAAAAATATAGTGAATGTTATTAGTGAATATGCCTCCTAAGTAGGATTAGATGATCAGACTAATAGAGTTTTTTGAGACCAAATGGATTATGTATTACAAGAGATACCCGTAGGAGAGAATCTAGTTATAGGTGGTGATTTCAATGGCCATGTAAGAGTAGGTAAATTAGGGTATGAGAGGGTGCATGGTAGGCATGGTCTTGGTGATAGAAATGAGGCTGGAGAGAGTATTTTAGATTTTGCGTTGGCTTCTAACCTAGTGGTGGCCAATATTATGTATAAGAAGAGAGAAGAGTATTTGATAGCCTTTAAGAGTAGGTCAATTATGAGCCAAATAAATTACTTTTTAGTAAGAAAATGGGACCATCTAAATTATAGCGACTATAAGGTAATTCTGGGAGAGAGCTTGACGTCTCAACATAGGATTTTGGTACTAGATTTATACTTTAAAGGACAATACCAAACTCGAAAAGATAGCGGGTGTCGCAGGACTAGATGGTGGAACCTAAAAACGGATAAACTAGACACATTTTGGAATAGAATGGTTAAAGAAGGTACTTGAGACTTGGAAGATGATGCTAACACTATGTGGAACTTGATGGCCAATTGTATGAGGAGAATCTCAAGGGAAGTTCTTAGAGAGTCGAAAGGAAATGGGCCTAACTTCAGGGAAACTTGGTGGTGGATGGAGGAGGTGCAAGCGGTAATAAAGACGAAAAAAGAGAGCTTTAAAAAGTGGCAGAATGATAGAACTGAAGAAAACCTCAAGTGCTACACAATGGCCAATAAGGAGCTCAAAAAGTAGCGAGAAAAACTAAGTTGAAAGCCTATGATAACCTATACACTATACTAGATAGTAAGGATAGAGAGAAGATGATATACAAACTTACTAAGATAAGAGAGAGGAAACCAAGAGATTTTAATCAGGTTAAGTGCATCAAGGGTGAGGACTTTAAGGTGTTAGTGAAGGATGAAGAGATTAAGGACAAGTGGAAGAACTATTTTGAGAAGTTATTAAATGAGGAATATGGAGGTAGATCAAAAGGGGAGCAAGTAGGTGATAATAAGGAAAATCAAGACTAAAGGTTCTATCATAGGATTAGGGACTTTGAAGTGGAGTTTACATTTAAGAAGATGAAATTGAATAAGACTTTAGGACCCGATGATATACCTATTAAAGCATGGAAATGTTTGGATAAGAAAGGGGTTGTTTGGTTGACTAGGTTATCTAGCAATATTTTGTTGACTAGGAAAATGCACGAAGAGTGGTGGAAGAGTATTTTAGTGCCAATATCTAAGAATAAAGGAGATATCTAGAATTGTAACAACTATAGAGGAATTAAGTTAATGTGTCACACATTGAAAGTGTGGGAAAAGTTAACGGAACGTCGATTGCGAGATATAACAGATGTGTCAGAGAATCAATTTAGGTTTATGCCTGGTAGGTCAATAATGGAAGCGATCTATCTTTTGAGGAGGGTAATAGAAAAGTATAGAGAAAAGAAAAGAGACATTCATATGGTTTTTATCGATCTTAAGAAAGCATATGATAAAGTGCCTCAGGATATAATCTGGGGGGTATTAAAGACGAAAGGGGTGACAAAAGGTTACATTGATGTGATTAGGGATATATATGAAGGTGTGGTGACCACTATTAGATCGCTTGCTAGAGAGACGAGTAAATTTCCAATTTCTGTAAGGTTACACCAAGGATCAACCTTAAGTCCTTATCTTTTTGCTTTAGTTATGGATGAGTTAACGCGCAATATTCAAGATGATGTGCCATGATGTATACTCTTTGCACTAAGTTGGAGATTTGGAGCAAAACACTTGAATCTAAAAGATTTAGGATAAGCAGAACTAAGACAAAGTATATGGAGTGTAATTTTAGTAATAATCACAATGGAAGCAGGAGAGAAGTGAAGATTGAGAACCAAAAACTACCTAAGAGTGAACATTTTCGTTATTTTAGGATCGATTATCATAACGATTGGGGAGATTGGAGCGGATGTGGTCCACAAAATTAAGGCAGAGTGGCTTAAGTGGAGGAGTGCATCTGAAGTAATGTGCGATAAACGAGTACTCACTAGATTAAAAGGGAAGTTCTATAAACAATTATTAGACCGACAATGTTGTATAGGACGGAATGTTAGGCAACTAAAAAATAACATGTAGATAAGATGAGTATTGCTGAGATGAGGATGCTAATGTGGATGTGTGGCAAGACTAGAAAAGGCAGAGTTAAGAATGAATATATTCGAGAATAGGTAGGAGTAGTACCGATAGAAGATAAATTGAGAGAGAATAGATTGAGATGGTTTGGTCATATACAACAGAGATCAACAGAGGCAGTAGTGAAGAGATACGATACAGTAACGGTAGATGGTAGTATTAGGGGAAGGGGTTGACCTAGATTAACATGGACTAGCGTAGTAAATAGAGATATGAATCTCCTTAATTTGACTAACAAAATGGCTTTGGATAGAGTTGAGTGAAGAAGAAGGATTTATGCAACTGACCCCATTTGATAGGACTTAAGACTTGGTTTGGTTTGGTTTGAATGAGAACATGAAACCAAATCAAAGTTGTGAATCCTAATGTACTGTTTTTTTTCATTAATCCTTAGTTGTTTTATTTTATTTTATTTTATAATATATGTTGAAGTTCCAAATTTAAGTCTCTGTCTAATTGTAATTTAGATCCCAACCAAACTCTAAACTTAATTTATTATTATTATTTGTTCAAAGCTGAATTCATGTCCAACTATTAGTAATCTTTGTTAAAAATATAAATAATATTCATCTTTTCAATAGCTTAAACCAGTATCCAGTACCTCCAAGCATGGAGATTCCCAGCCTCTAGTATTGTGTTGGATTTATTTCACTTATATTATGTTTTATTTATTAGAATAAAAGTGAAATTAAATGGAATGTCATTCTTTAACTTTCTTGCAAAATGACCATTTACTTATAATAAATAGAGAGGCTGGGGATGTAGAATTGAGGCCGTGGTGAGAGAGGAAGGAGGAGAGGGGTGACACTGCCACTGGTGTTGGAAGAGTTTATTGTAATCTTATTAGAGGGGTATTTTTGTCATTGAAAAGTCGCTCACTCTCCACATAGGCATGTAGAGACCAAAGCTTGATACTTTAGACAAAAAAGA